TCTCTCCTGCCCTGTAGGTTGTCAAGGCTGAATTTCCCTAAGGTGGGATTGGGAAGGAGGTTGGCTTAGGCTCATGCATTTTCTTCCTCTGCCTCTGATTATTATGGGAGTGTGTCTCTAGTAGCTCCATAGGCGGAGGTATGTTTTATCTTCGACAAAGCAGGAAAAGACATGTGATGGAAAAAAGGAAAGTGTGTTTTTATTGGAGCAGCTGATCTCTCAGGGATGCCAGGTAAATGAGGTGTCGCAGAGGTTTGCTCGTATGCCTTTGATTTGTCTCCATACGTCATCCTGGGACTGGCGGGTAACAGGTGGTCTTCCAGAAGATCACTCAGATGAGCCTGTTTTTGTTTAGCCAGTGACAGAGACCCCCGAGGAGCCCTCCACCCAGTACGTGCACATCACAGAAGCCGAAGAGGACGTTCAGGGCACGCAGGCAGCCGTGGCCGCGCTCCAGGACCTGAGATACACTTCGGAGAGTGGTGAGAGAGCACACGCTCTGTCCTCTCAGACACTTTCCAGCGACCTTCAAGCTGTTCTTTAGTGGGCATGCTGAATGAATGAATGAATGTGTGAATGCTTCCACAGGGGTGGAAGGGGCTTTGCCGGCAGGGCTCAGCTGAGAGCTGGAGCTGATCCTGTGGTCTGGGTGTCCCTATCCCTGGCTCCCTGTGGGCCTCTCTTCCGGGGGTGGGGGGAGGGGCTTGTTTCTGCTCCAGGGACAGTGGTGGCATGAGCCGGACTGAGGGCACAGCTGCTCACCTTGCCGCGGCCGCCTTGCAGAGCCTTGAGCCCGGCACTGCCTGCATCCCAGTCTTCTGAAAAGCCCCAAAGCAGGATTTTTCCATCAAATGTCATCGTTTTCAAGTATTAGATCAATTTTAAAATCAGACCACTGTGTCACCCCAGCAGTGATTCCAGCTTTATGCTTTCTTAGTCCTTTTCAGCACTTGGATGGAGCCCGAGTTAATGTGTGACCACAGCCTGATTTGCATTCAGAGGAAAGTATTAGGTAGTGGCAGGAGGTAGGAAATTGCCAGTGTTGCCGGGTTCTTAAAGCCCTAAAGTCCAGGTCATAAGCAACCTGAGTAAAACAGTCCTTTGGGCGGATTATTTACGGCTGGGCTCATTGGGCTGCCAGAGCTTGAGGGCCTTCCGGAGACAGCGCTTCCCCGTGGTGGCTGGTTAGAGCGGCAGGTTCAGCGGAGGGGAGCGGCCCGGCTGAGGCTGTTAAATGGGGCACCCGGAGCTGAGGCCCTGGCTGAGTCTGTGCTTGCTTCCTTCATGTTCAGTGGCTTCAGCGACTGCTAAGCCCTGTGCCTTCATCCCCCATGCGTGCACACATTCCTTCTGAGGCCTCTCTCGTGTCTCTTCCTGGCTCTTGGGATAAGGCTCAGACCTTGCAGCCCATCGAGCCAGGCGCACCAGCTCTGGGTCCTGGCTCCCTGTCCATCATCCCTTTCTACTCCGCCCCTGAGATTGCTCTCCCCTGAAGACTCAGCAGGTGCTCCTTTTTCCCCACACCTGCACTGCTGTGTGTGATCTCTGGGACACGGTCTGTTCCTTCCCGTACACTTTTTCTGGCCACCTCACCTGTACCTTCAGTGTTCAGATCGCATGTCATCTGCTGGGGACCCACCTGACTTTTCTGCAGCGTTCCCCTGATTGCCCCGAGACAGGACCAACCTGGTGCGGGAATAATTTGCTTACAGAACTGTCTCATGAGTTCCGAAGGAGGAGGAGAGAGAGTGTTAGATGGAGGCAAATCTTTCTATTCCCCCTGGGAGCCATGCTCCTGGTGACAGGCCTGATTAATGGTCACCGAGGGAGTAAGTGCATGAGGAGTTAAACCTTACTTAGCTCAGTAAGTTTTTAAGGTAAATATTTTGTTTAGTCTTTGGATGTTCAGAGTAGTTGGCTGCAAGGCACAGTTCACACACCCCCCTTACGTAGAGAGAGAGTGAGAGAGAAAGAGTGTGTGTGCGCGTGCGTGCGTGTGTGTGTGTGCGTGTGTGTGTGTGTAGGGCAACGCCAGGGTGGTACGCTCTGAGTATATGCAAGTCACTCACACCGTCGTGTACTTAGTCTCACACCACATCCTACCCGTGACATAGAACACATCATGCTCCCCTTCTCTGGCTCTTCCTGAGTGACTCACATTGGAATGTGGCCCGCGGAAAGCCAGTCCAGGAGGATGCAGACACTGGCGGAGACTTGGTAATATTATGCTAACACAGAGATCATGCCGTAGTTTCTCTCTTAGTGAATTAATGATCGGGGTCAGAGTGCCGTGTTCGGGAGAGTCACAGATGGTCAAGCAGATGGTGAGAGCCGGTGGGGTGTACTCAGTAGCTGCCCTGATGCTGTGGACTCCAGTCGTTTGAGATGATTAAAATAGAACCCCAAGCTTAAATTGGTTTGGAATTTTAAAGCCCTCTGGTCTTAATAATCGAGACATCCTCCGATGTTTTGTCCATAACTTGTGTAATTTATTGGGCACACTCTCGTTGGCCACCTACTGGGCGTATGCTCACAGGACACTAACTTTGCAGGTTAGTGTGTTAGTTGGTACTTCTCGGGGGTTCTCTCCTGAGAGGCAGTCTTGGGTCACCAAGTTTGGATTCAGAACATCTGGGCCTGAGCTCTGGTTTTGTGCAGTAACTGACCCAATGACCCCAGGCAAGTCTCCTGTCTTTTTTGTGCAGAGGTAACCAGTCTCTGAAATGGGGGTAATATCACACTGTCATCTCCTCACAGGATCATTTGGGCTTTTGAAATGTTCTAATAGAAAGTGCTTTCAAGCCAAAAAGCACCATACAAATTATTCTGCTGTTGAAATTGAGCGATTGTGGAGAATCTGTGCTTCCTCTGGAGTGGGTACTGCTCCCCAGTGGCCTCTAGTAAGGTCTGGTTTTGCACTCAGTGCCCCCCAGCACTGGTGGGCTTACTGGTGTCCCGTTTGCTTCTTCCCTGTAAGGTGACCGCCTTGACCCCACGGCTGTGAACATCCTCCAGCAGATCATCGAGCTGGGCACCGAGGCCCATGACGCCACTGCCGTGGCCTCCGTGGTTGCCATGGCTCCAGGGACGGTGACTGTCGTGAAACAGGTAAGGGCCTTCCCCGCCCCGTTAAATTTCCTCTCTCCACACTGCCACACACCTTCTCTCTCTCCTGCCCTGTAGGTTGTCAAGGCTGAATTTCCCTAAGGTGGGATTGGGAAGGAGGTTGGCTTAGGCTCATGCATTTTCTTCCTCTGCCTC